CAGCCTCCCCAGTAGCTGGGAATACAGGCATGTGCCACCACATCCAGCCAATTTTGTGGTTTTAGTAGAGACAGGGTTTCTGTATGTTGGTTAGGCTGGTCTCAAACTCTCAACCTCAGGTGATCCGCCCACTTCAGCCTCCTAAAGTGCTGGGATTACAGGCATGAGCCACTGCGCCCGGCTTGACTTTTGTGTTTAGAATCATTCCTCTCCTTTTTGTTCTAGTTGTTGTACACATAAATACACGCCTAACAATAAACCTATATTGTTTGCTTTTATTGTTTTTGAATAGACTTTGGAGGAAGAATATAACGTATTTATTCAACGTATATTTAATGGGTGCCTTCTCTGTGCCAAGCAGTGTTAGATGCTAGAAAATAAAAATAGTGACAAGCAAACAAACGCGTAATAATTTCTGCTGTTATGGACAAATAATAAGCAAATAAACAAACAAAAGGTTTAGTCTGTCCATTAGTGATAATAGCTATGGACAAAACCAGGGCAGGGAAGGTGGGGGGTTGGGGTTCTTGCTATAGTGATTAAGATGGTGAGGGAAGGGATAGGGGTTGTGAGTGAATCTAATACATCTGGAACTGGAGAGAGAACAATGGTCTCAAGCAGGTGACTTGAGCCAGACCCCAAATGTTTTTTTAACTTTTACATTCCCATATGGAAATGAAAATATCTTCGTTTTTTAAGGTCCATCAAATTGTATTTTCATATTGTAATGTTTTGATCAAGCATTTACAAAAATATTTAGGGCCATTCCCTCGGAAAAGTATTGAATCTTAGGGCTAAAAGCCGCTTCAAATATGAACCAGTCAAAACTTTCTGTTTCGTAGAAGATAAAAATGAGATCTGAAAAGGTCAATTAAATTATATACACTTACACAAGTGTTACATAGTATGAGGAAGGTATTCATGTAGGTTAAATTGTTTGTTCTAAACTAGAAAACTAATTGATAGTAAAGGTAGATAGCCCGGGCTTCTCTTGAGCTCATGGTGAAAATTTCTTCAATAGCGTCCATTATGATAAAAATTTTAGTGGAGGGCCTACTTCTTAGTCTAACCCCAATCCCTGAGAGAGAAAATTCAGTGCCAGAGATGTTGCAGATATACCTTAAAGTAGGAATTAGTAGTCCTTTTAGGTTGTCTGAAGGATGGAGAATGGACAGAGATGTCTGCAGGGTCCTGCTGAGATGTCCCTTGCCTTCTCTTAAAGGACAAGCAACCAATTACAGGCACCAGAGGCTTGATCCTGGGTGCTTCTGGAGTAGAAGAACAGTGTGGGGGGTGCTGCTACCGGAGTTCAGCCACAGCCTCTTGAGCACCTGTTTGCCTGTTCCCTGCCTTCTTTTAACCATAGCTCCAACGTCTGGAGCCTCTGCTTCCCGAGCACCGGCCTGCCCATTGAGCTTATATTCCTCCTTGCCAGATGGCCAGAGAGCAGAGGTGAAGCTCCCACATTCTTCCTCACTCATAAGCTGGGGTTCACTCTCGTGGTATCCCCTCCCCATTTGGAGTCTTCTGCTTTCATGCCTAAAATACAAGTTTTGCATTTTGGGGAGAGCTTGGGGACCTGGAAAATCTCAAGAGCTTGATAGGATTATTGGACGGGGCCACAGGGAGGTGTTGATCAAAAACCACTCAAATTGTAGGTGGAGTTGCCAAAAAGAATACAGAGGACCCAGTGAAATTTGGATTTCAGAGAAACTATGTCCCGAGTACCATACCACTATATAGTCAAAAAAGAGTAATAATTATTGCTTGGAAATTCACACTGGACTGGGCATTCTGTATTTTTATTTGCTAAGCCAGACAAGGTTATATTTGTGGGAGTGGGGTTAAGGTCATGGCAGTTGCTAGACTTTCCCTCTGTTTTAGGTGGGGAAGTGGGAAAAACAGAGAGAGGAGCTAAAGAAACGCAACGGTTCTTTAGCAGGAACATCCCTTCATGGACCTCTCTTTCCACTTTTGTTCTTTCCTGTCTGAGGGCTGTGAGTGTCTGTGTGTGGCACACGGACATACGTCCCCCGGTGTTCTGTAGAACACGAGGAGTGATACTGGGGAGAACTGTTGATAGTGACACTGATTAGATATTGAATAAACAACATGAGAAGATTAAAAACTGTACAAATGCGGTTAGTTTAAAATCAACACAAATCACTGCATTCATGTAAACTGCCTCTCATTCATGCGCAACTGCCACAGGGTGCAATCACACTTTTATGTTCATCCCAGCCAATCTCTACGTGTTTCCAGAGAACCATAGAATGTTACCAAAGAGGTCTAAGAAATTGTTTAATACAACCCCGACGTTTACCGACGAAATAACTGAGAACGAGAGAGAGCAAGTTACCAACTGTGGGCCCCACTGTACATCAATATTAATAATAGAAAAATGTTTTGTAAGAGCTTCCTAAGGGCTGGGTGTTTTAGAAATTCTCTACTTCACATTTTATTCTCACAATGACCCTATAATCATCCTCATTTTCAGGGGAAGCAAGTTGAGGCACAGAGAATTATGTAATTTACCTAATGTTCAAGGTCATGCAGCTAATGAGTAGAGATTACTATTAAACCCGGCGAGTCTGGCCCTGAGACCCATGCACTCAACCAGGACACCCTTTGGCTCCTCAGATGAGTTTATATCACCAAACATATTCATACATGTAAACTTTCAGAGTTTACTGCTGCTGTGGCATAATTTTGTCCCTAATCACGAGGTCACTCAACTACAGCTTATAGAAAGTTGATCGGACATGGCTGACATCAATGACGATTTCCGAGTAAAAGCAGTTATCTGCTCACTTATAAACAAACTCTGTCACAGTGAGCCCGTTGCTGTAATCAGAGAACAATTTCATTGCATTATTTAATGGAATACATTAATACCGTGATCTACTATTAAAGCAAATATTCGCAGTGAGATAGAAACAGTTTTATGAGTTTACAGTTTGAGTTGCTTATGAAAGAGGAGGAGGAGAAGAAGATGATGAAGGAGAAGGGAGAATACTGAAAGAGAGCAAGAAATCAAAATAAAGTTGAGGCACGTATTCATTGTTAGTGACAAAATAGAAGGCGTTCTCTTAAAGAGAGGCCCTACTGTCAGCACGCTGTCACCTCAGTGCCTGCGCAGCCACAGTAGTAATTACATCCAGAAAGAATAACCACCATTCAAACATCACATTTTCTAAGTCTTAAACATTCCACTTGTTATTTGTCCTGTCAAGAGACGATCAACGCTTGCATCTCAGCCTCCAGATTCCCTGTTTATCAGTGATGGGAGGATTAAAGATGCCTGCTTCTGCTTTGACACCATGTTTTCCCAAAGCCACCCTTCCTTCTGACACAAAAGCCTGCACACCTTTCTTAAAAAGTGAGGCCGGAATTCTCTGAAGCTCCAGGATCAGGGTTTTCAGGGTCTACTTAGGAGATACCAGGACTCCCCAGATCCACTGAAATGGAAGTTGGGAGTGGTGCAAACGTTGTCTTTCCTCTCCACCACACTTTAGCTGAAGGAGGTATCGATAGGTGTTTTGCAAGTCTGCTATCAAGTACATCACCAAATCCTTTTAGAGACAAACCAGCACGCCCAGACCTTCCACATTTAAACTGGCAAGGAAGCGTTTGACATGAATGCAGCTTCATACAAAACAAATCCACATCCTTTCTTCTTCAGAAAGGTGGCAGTGTTGCCTTGCAGTTTTGACCAAATACAAAGCAGCGGTGAGGTCACTAGCTAATTAACAGATCAACCGTCTCACCTCACCACGGAAAGGCAGGACTTAATCCACTACCGACCCCGGTGGCTGGCAGACTCATCCCAGAGCATCAGGGGCAGCGAGGCTTGTGACCGCCTAAGCTCCTGAGTTTTCAACTTGCGTCAACAGTGAAGATCCTAAGAAAATCTCCAGTTGACCCCACAGGCATCTACAAACCAAGGGCATCTAAGAAAGTCACAGAGGAACCTTACCTCCCAGCAGCTACATTTTTGCTTTTTGAAACGTCCATCCCACGTGAAACGATTGAGTTGGCCCCATGTAAAGGGCTAAGAAAGCTTAGCAAACCATGCCTGTATCTTTCTGACACCTGTTATGTCAACGTTCGCATCAGAGTTCTCCTAAAAGTAACCAACCTAAGTAGAAGTTCTACATTATTGAGTGTGTTGTTAACCAGTTTTCTAAAACCAACATTATACACAGAGCTACTGAAAAATAACTTCAGAAGTCAAGTGTTGATTTGTCTAAACGTGGAGACCCACACAGACACCTTCCATGGGCCCGTGCACAAACCCTTCTTGAGAAGCAGTTAGAGCTCCCGTCTCTCCCTTCCACTCACCTCCGCTCAGCTTCCTTTGAGAAGTTTCTCCATGTGCCACTAACACAGAAATTTGGGGGGAAATTCTCCATTTATAAATATCAGATGGTTTGGGAAAAAATATTTGTGGCACTGGGCTTTCTTTTTTTTTTCTACAGTGATGTCATTTTAAATACTTGGTGTGCTCCAAATTTGCTATTTTTACTTCCCCCAAGTGACTTTTTTTGGGAAATACATTTGTTTGGATTAGCTGCATTTTAAATGATCCCTGTACCTAACACACAAACATGAGGTCCATCTTCTCAGCGATCATAACTGATATTACGCAGCGTCCAAACTTGAAATCCCTTATTTGTTCATTTCCAAAGTTGCCCCTTCTCAATGGACCCCTCCAAAATTTCTATTCACAGATACAGAGAAAATAAGAGAAAATAAAATAAAAGGATTGGCCTTTTCACAGAAGAACAACCACACTCGACCACCCAAAAGCACTTAACAACGGAAGACACAAAAGGCCCCCAAAAAGTCAAATAAAATATTTTGCTTCCACGATGTGCTTTTGGGGAACAGAGTTGAGGTAGACCTGGCAGGCTTGGAAACATTTATTGGAAAGCAGTTCTAGAGTTGAGAATGGCAGAAGAGAAAAGTTCAAGAAGGAATGCTAAATGCCTTAGCCCTACCTGATCTGAACTTGCTCCTAATCAGCAAGGAATGCTCAGACCCCAGAAGTGTCATGTTGAGGCTCAGCAAGCCGCTGGTCCCTTGGCCAGGCGCCCCCTGTTCTCCACCAGCAACAGGCTCCCGGGAGCCCAGCTGACCGCAGCTAACAACCCAGAATTCATCCAACTCTCCGTGAGCTCCCCTGGGTAGGAGTACAGTGGCAGTCAGTGTCCCCAGAAAACTGGCGCCTCCCCCCTCGCCGTGCGGGGCTAATTAACTCTTAGCCGGCGGGACCCTCCTCCTCCTCGGAGGTTGGCCGGGAGCAGCGGCATCCCAGGCGTTCCTGGCTGATGTCATAGGCTGCCGGCGATTGCGGAGAATCGCCACCACGCCTTTATGAAGGTCCCAACTTTGCCACCCGATACTCTTTACTACTGACAGGCGCTCAGCCAATCAGGAGCGGCGAGCGGGGCCCGGGGGACCCGGAGCCGCCGGAGCCGTCTCGGGAGCCGGCTCTTAACTCTTTGCAGCGGGCCCCGCGGCCGCCGGGGCGCAGAGGGCGGGAGCGGGGCCGGGGGTCGGGAATCCGGGAGAGGGGCCCGAGCTAAGGAACCGAGGCCCGGAGGAAAGTCAGAGGGGCTGCGGCGGCGCGGGGCCTGCAGGTGGGGCGCGGGGAGCTCCGCGGGCCGGGGCATGGGCGTGCGCAGCCGGGGCTTCCCCGCCAGGGCTTCTGCCTGCGGGAGGGACGCGGCCGGGATCTCCCGCCAGCCGGCGGCAAAGGCTGCGCCAAAGGGCGTGCGCGCCCGCGGGACGGTTCACGCGGGGCGGTTTGGAAATCAGCCGGACCCCTGAGAAGAAACGCCTCCGAAGGACCGGAGTCCACACCTTCCTCTCGGTTTGAGGGGCTCAGTGCACAGGCAGGGACGATGCTGTGTCTCGTAGCTCCAATACGGGACTTGCATGCATTTCCAAGGGGAAAATGGAAAGGCTTGCATTTTTCTAGGATATGCTTTTTCGGGGGGGAGGCTTGGGGATGTGACTCGGTGCATCTGGAGATCCAGCGGCAACTCAATGCTCCCACCTGCAAACCCCGAGGGAATGGGAAAAGATACCTGAGTCTGAGTCAAAACCCTACTGGACTGTGAATAGGGAGGGGTTCTGGAGCAGGGGGCAAGCCAGAGCGCCGGTTGGGCTTAGCCTGGAAAGGCGCAAAAACTTTGCCTGCGAATCCGTCTCTCCACAGGGGAAAGTTCATTCCGTAACCGATCCAGAGTTATTGGAGCATCTGGCCGAGGTGTTACAGGCACAGGGATCACTGAAATAATACAAAGACCCATCTCTGGAGAAGCTGGTTTAATAGTTGGTGGCTCAGAACATCAAAAAACAAAAAACAAAACAAACAAAAAACAAAAAACAAACAAAAAAAAAACACTCTATATAATACGTACATAATTAGGGTTGACTTGCAACCTCATGGGTATCGACTGTTACACACAAGCCTGCCTGTGTCTGTACTACGAGTCCTTAAAAGATCAGTCGGTTACAGAGGGAGACTCAAGGTGACAATAGCTCATGGGGACAACCTCTAATGCCCTGAGTCCCGGCCTCTGCCCCATCCCCTGTTGTTGAAAACACATTATAGTGGTTAGCCCTTGAGCTCGATCTCTGGATCTGAGCCGATCTTTTTTTTTTTTTTTTTTTTATAAATAAGGTCTTCAGGAATAGACACCTTCTTCCTGATGGGTCAGAGAAGAGGAAGAACAATCCGTCCATGTTCCCTTTGGGAATCTAGTCCTGGCCTGAATGCCAATCTACAGGCTGATTTGGTGTGCGGGAGCATCTCAGCAATTATGTAACATCATTTTCCCATTCCTGCTATAACAAATTACCGTGAATTTAGTGGCTTAAAACAGCACAGATTTATTACCTTGCTGTTCTGGAGGTCAGAAGTGCTTCTCAGTGGGTCAAAATGAAGGTGTCAGCAGGGCTGCGTTCATTTCTGGAAGCTCTAGGGGAAAATCTACTTCCTTGCCTTTTCTAGCTTCTAGAGGCTGCCCGAGTTCTTGGCTCATGGACCCTTCCTCCAGTTTTGAAGCCAGCAATCCTGGGTCAGGTTCTTATTGCATCTTATCACTTTAACGCTCCCTTCTCCCACCTTCTGCTTCCCTCTTCTGTGGTAAACTTACGGCAAAAATAAACTCCAGGCGGGGCGTGGTGGCTCACACCTGTAACCCCAGCACTTAGAGAGGCCAAGGGGAGTGGATCACCCAAGGTAAGGAGTTAGAGACCAGCCTGACCAACATGAAGAAACCCCATCTCTACTAAAAATACAAAATTAGCTGGGCATGGTGGCACATGCCTGTAGTCCCAGCTACTCCGGAGGCTGAGGCAGGAGAATTGCTTGAACCCGGGAGGTGGAGGTTGTGGTGAGCCAAGGTCGTGCCATTGCACTGCAACCTGGGCAACAAGAGCGAAACCCTGTCTCAATAAATAAATAAATGAATAAATAAACTCTGTCATAAAGTCAGTTTATCATCCTTCCTACTGCCTGGATTCCCTTTGCTGTATAATGTAACCTATTCACAGATTCCTGGGATTAGGACATGAACTTGGGAAGAGAGGGCATGATTCCTCCTGTCCCACGGAGACCTTTCTTTCTCTTCTGTCTCTCCTGATCTTCAGTCAAGCCCCAGCCCCCTGGTCTTCAATAAGAAGAAGGAACGTGGAGGGAGGTTTGGGAACGTGTGCACACAGGAGTCTGGAAGGGCTCCGATCGGCTTTGAGATGTGTGTGGCAGGGAGGGACTCTGCAGGGAAGAGATTGGTGGGATAAGGAATATTGCAAAATTATCTGAGTAGAGAAAACTATTTTGAGCAACATTAAAAAAAAAAGAAAAAAGAAAAAGCCAAACAGATTTTTATCCCGAAGACTTTGGGGCTGAGAAGAGATACATGGCAACTTGGCGGAGAATTATTTTTTCAGTGAAAGTTGGGATGAAATTAGCTGAAGCCAGCATTGAATGTAGGGTCTGCATGACCTAGATGAGTTGGCCAGGAATAAGTTGTTTTCTCTCTGCAGGCCTGGGAGTGTGTGCGTGTATGTGTGTGGGGGGCGGGGTGGGGAGAGGGGGGGAGGGGTGAGAGAGAGAGGGGAGGAGGGGTAAGAGAGAGAGACAGAGAGAGAGAGAGAGAGAGAGAGAGAGTGTGTGTGTGTGTGTGTGTGTGTGTGTGTGTGTGTGTGTAGGGAAGCATGGTTTCTTTTTCTCAGTGAGTTTGGGAAATGCCAATAACCACAGTCCTCTATTTTCCCATCACACTGTGGAGCTACTGACATGTCCTGAGATTTGTACCCCCATGACTTGGAATATCTATGGTTATAAATATGCTCATATAAAAGCTCATCATTTCTCCCCTTTAGTAGAGCACTTTTTGTGAAAACATATTTTTTGAGAGGGAGAGGATGTTCCCAAGGAGAACAGAACTCCGAAGCTGCTCTCTCCAGAAACAGCACGCTAATGCAGCAGTGGCACGCCACCAGGCTCCGTCCTGCAATTTCACCACCTGGGCAGTATGGTTCCCTTGCCATGCTACTCCACGACCTTCTTCCTTGGAGCCGGGAGTAAGCTTGTGATATGACACAGAGGCAAGATAAGAGCCTCCAGCATGAGAAAGATCTTCTTTGAATCATGATAACCCTGCACCTTGGAGTGAATGATTGGAGTCCTCTGGGATACTCAACATCTTATCAGTAAAATGGAGTTGGAAATATTTGCTTCCAGAAAGAGTTGGGATGTTTAAATGAAATAATACATGTGGGGTGCCCAGAACAATTCTTCTTGGTGTGCTTTATTTTATTTTTGATTTTTCTGAGATGGAGTCTCGCTCTGTCGCCCAGGCTGGAGTGCAGTGGCGAGATCCGAGCTTACTGCAAACTTGCCTCCTGGGTTCAAGAGATTCCCCTGCCTCAGCCTCCCAAGTAGCTGGGATTACAGGTGCGCACCACCATGCCCAGCTAATTTTGTATTTTTTGTAGAGATGGGATTTCACCCTGTCAAGACCAGTCAGGCTGGTCTTGAACTCCTGAGTTCAGGTGATCCACCGGCCTTGCCCTCTCAAAGTGCTGAGATTACAGGTGTAAGCCACCGTTGCCTGGTCCTGGTGTGTTTTAGACCCTTCTTTTTCCTTCCCCCACCCCAACCACCTCTAAAACTGTTCATGAAGATTCCAAGCGATTGTGTCTCCTTCCCCTTCATTTTGGTTTTCTCTCCTTGGCTATTAATTACCTGTTTCATACATTGCCAGACATTCAGCAGCTTAAAACAATGCACATATTTGTTATCTCCCAGTTTTCATGGTCGGGAGTCCAGGCACGGATTATCCGGGACCTCTGCTTCGGGTGTGACAATGCTGAAATCAAGGCACTGGCTGGGATGGCAGTCTCATGAGAAGCTCAATGTCCCCTTCCAAGCTCGCTGGCTGTGGATGGAATTCAGGTCCTGGCAGGGCTAGAACTCACAACGGCTTGCTTTTTTCCAAGGCCAGCAGGAGAATGTCCTCTTTGAAAGGGTTCACCTGATTAGGTCAGGCTCACCCAGGACAATCTTTCTTTTTAACTCAAGGTCATAGTAATTAGGAACTTTAATTATACCTGAGAAACCTCTTCATCTTTGCCAAGTCATGTAACCTAATCATAACTGTGCATCCATCACATTCACTGGTCTCTCCCATATTAAACAGGAGATTATCCAAGGCAGTAACTCATTGAGAGGTCACCTTCCAATTCTGCCTTCCACAACGGTGATCCTCAGCCTTCAGTCAAAGTGGAAGTGATTACGTCCATAGGTGTGAGTTCAAAGTACAGTGCGGAGTCACCAGCTCACATCTTGACCCCTTACACATCTCCTTTCCTAGGAGTATTATGAGGTCAGCTGCTGGGTCACAGACAGGGGGCAGTGCGGTGAGCAGAGGAAGAGCTCACCTATGTTGGCCTCAGAACCTCCAGTTCTCCCTGTGGTCCTCTCTTAGAAAATCCCCTCCTCCCACAAAGGTCATTATTGTTTGCATGGATCTCATGGTCTTCCTGAGACGTGAACAGTTCTTCAGCACCTGCTTCCTAGTATCACCTTTCATCTATTTTCTCTTTTTTTCTTTCAGACATCAGCGAATAGGTAACTTCAGGGAAGCATTTGTTCATCTTTCAATAGTTCCATTTAAGATGCATTTAGGGGGTCAGCCACGGTGGCTCATACCTGTAATCCCAGCACTTGGGAGACAAAGGCAGGTGGATCACTTGAGCCCAGGAGTTTGAGACCAGCCTGGGAAATAGGATGAAACACCATTTCTACTAAAAATACAAAAAAAAAAAAAAAGGTC